AATTGAACGGAAAAGAGTCATAAGCACAAAGATGAATACGATTACTAGAAATATAAATTTTACATATCGAAAAATGTGATCATTAATTGAATACAAACCACAATAGATATAGAATCGTCGATTTCGATGATTATTCCATTCTGCATTACTCATCGACCATACAGTATTATTATTATTATTTTGAATACTTGTACAATTGTTTGAAATTCGATATCGATAACTTTCATCATCATTCCATTTTGCTAACCACCAATTACTAAATATCGATGTTGCTTCTTGTACTGATGATAGAATTATGACGATGAACAAACCCATAATAATACCAACACCAGCTTTTAAATATACAATATACACATGCCATTTGACTGCACCCTTTTGTTTTGTTTCAACATTTTTCGAAAATGTCAACATTTCTTCATCAACATTCGAACAGGTCGAACTAAGAATTGATTGTTGTTGATGAAGTTCGATAGAATGTTGTTGTTCAAATTGATGAATATCATCAAGTAAACGAGCAAATGATGTTGATGAATCAAGCAAATCAGTATAAGTACCAATTTGTACCATTTCACCCTGAAATAACATTTGATAATTCATTCAAAAAACTTCAATCAATTACAAAATGATACATTGTTAAGTACAATAATTTTTGTTGCATCTTGCAAGAATTGAATTTGATGTGTAACCAATATACAAATCTTATTAGCAAGATCATTTTTGATAGATCTATGAGAAAAGATTCATTGCTAAATTTCAATATTATATAAAATTGATTTACCTTTGAAAGAGATGTTTAGCTACTTTGACATCGACAGCAGATAAAGGATCATCCAAAAGATAGATATCTGCGTTACGATAGAGTGCTCGAGCCATATTAACACGTGCCTTTTGACCCTACATGATTATCAGCTTATCATCTAAGATGTATATCAAATAATGTATTACTCACTCCAGACAACATAACACCTTGATCACCAACAAGAGTATTTTCTTCATTAGGTAATTGAGCAAAATCCTGTTTATTATAAATTTATATATGTCAAATATTCGATTCTACATACTATATCGAGTGCAGTTGCTTTAACAACATTTCGAAATAAATTATGATCATATGCTTTGCCGAAGAGAATATTTGTTTTAATAGTTGAAGAAAATATCCCTAATTCAATCAAAGAGAACAAATTTTCTTCTATTAATCGATATTACTTACATGATTCTTGTGGTACATAACAGAATGAACCATGCATTCGAACTTTTCCATCAAAAATTGCAATTTCACCAGTGAGTGTTTGCAAAAGAGAACTCTATATATATGAACATTCATGAACATCAATTTTTGACAAAATAAACAG